TTCAATTTGCAGTCCGATCACATCCGTCGACTCGTTTTATCGCAGTTTTGATGGTATCTAAGCACTTTTTTCCAAATAGCACGACGAAAGAGAAGCTGAATGACACTCTCGAAGATGATGCATCTCGACACGGGACATACGGAGAACAATTTCTCGCTAGCACAGCAAATTGTTCTTTACTACAATGATTTTACCATAATAAGAAAAATTAGTTACGTGGAAAGAACAATTTTGCTGTTGTAGCAAAACGTCGTTGCGATAGCAATAAAATTTAATCGGCACAATTAACACTCCAGACATATCTTTCTGCTGTTGAAACAAGTCTTTTTGCTTTCACTATAGCAATAAAAAAATGTGCTGTGCCAGCAAGAAATTTTTCTCGCCGTGCAGAAACGCTTAGGGCAGAACTCGCTCGTTTCGTCCCGGCGGAAGGGCCACGCGCGCGCTTCGAGAGAAATCGTTGCAACGTACTCGGGAAATATATACGCCCGATTCGCGGCGTACAGCCAAGGGATAAAGAATAGACTTCGTTTCTTTTTCTCCGTCGGCCGTCGCCGTGCAGATCCGATATAACGATAGCGACAAGTTAAAGAGGATGCCGAAAGGATATCGGGGTCGTGCCGATTGAGCACGAAGGTTACGAGAGGTTAGGCAGCCCCGAGCCGGAAAACTGATTCTCGCCCCGTATCTGCAGCATTCGGTCGAGCACGGGCAAGTGGACCGACCTCTCATAGATTTTTCTTGCAAATGGATTTTCTTCGGCTCTCGCGCGCGAAACTTCCCGCGTGCGAGCGGGATCGATAGTTATATAAGAGAAGAAAACGCGGATAAGATCGGAGCCAGATAGGAGAGCGAGAGACAATGAAAGAAAGAAAGAGAGAAAAAAAAAGAGAGCCAAGAGAAAGAGGGAGGGAGAGGAAGGAAGAGAACATGTCTCCGTGCGCATTTGGCGTTATTGAAACAAAACTTTTTCCTCGGAGATTTATCTCCCGAGCGAAACTCTCTCTCTCTCTCTCTCTCTTTCTCAACACGTCTCGTTTCTCCGGATTTTCGTCGTCGGTAATTCGCGTCGCCGGATAGCAGGATACAGGAACCGCCCGGTGAACTCCCACAAGCTCCCCCGATTGTAATCACAGATTTCTTCGGCAAAAAAAGAAGTAGTTGGCGACGATTCGTTCGTCGACGGAAATTAATCCCGAAAGAAAAAATACGACGAGGTATGGGAGTGCTCTCTCCCTCCCTTCTCTTTCTCTCCGGACGATGATCCTCGCGAGATCACAAAACTATTGATTTAGAGACGACGGAAGTTTCGAATTGCGTCTGTCCCGCGCGATGTCCCATCGGTCCGTTTGAAGTAAGACAGCCGTCAATCCGAGCGAGGCCTTCGCGTCGAATCGATACCGTCGCGCCGCACGTGAAAGGCAAAGTGGATATGCAAGCGGCCGCGCGTCGTATCTCCATTCATCTGCATACATGAGCGGCGAAGTCCTCCTCGGAGGGCAATAGAGCGCACGCCTTGTCCAGCGGAATACTCGCTCGCAGGATTCCGTTGCTCCTTTTGACGTCGGAATTATTGTGTTCTGACGCTCCCGAACCTTTGAATTCCGTAGCCCCGGATCTTTAACCTCCATCGGTCGATTCCTCGCCGATTCCTCTAGATTGGATATGCGTCTTTGCAGTATCGCGCATGGTGATTGCTCGCGCTCCTTCGCCTCGAATTCCTCGGATCCTTCGTGCCTCGAGAATCCGATATATCATATGCCGCAGTTTTTAAACGCGCTTATCCTGGAACATTTGAATTTAAAGGATAAGCGTATTCTTCGCTCTGAATATAATTGTTCGATGCCTCGAGCAGAACTGTACCTTTGAAGACTCACAATGCGTGAACAGCATTGTTCGTACGAGCTAATTCTCCTCCTCCTCCTCCGCGCACGAAAAATCAAATATCGACAACGGAATCGCGTCCACGTGCACAAGGACGGCCTCTCGAGAGATCTCACGGCGAAAGTCACGCTTCTTGCTCCTTTGACATCGGAGTCACCCTGTGTGCTCTGCCGATCTCGGATGCAACGGCGGATGGCTATCCGGCGCAACGGCCGAGCTCACCCCTTTCGGTACTGCCTTTCTCAGTAAGGGTCAAAGGCCAGAGCCAAGGGTTAACGTACCCTGCAACCAGACGCATCACTACCCTGGGCGGCAGACGTTAACCTTTCCCCAAATCCTCCCCGTGTGCTCTCCGCTACTCCGCCGCTACTCTGCTTTGAGCCTGAGATTGTTCTACGATTGGTTGCGACGCGAAGAGAGCTTTCTCTCTCTCTCGCTTTCGCTCGCTCTCTGCCCGGCTTTGTACGAACATTATCCCGGTGGATCTGCGCGGATATGCTACGTCATGATACTCGTGACAATGGATTGTAACGGGCGTTCGGAGGGACGTGATGGTCGCGTGTAACGAGGACCGATAATGTCGTCGCGCCCGCGAGCGCGTAGAAAATAGGGGACTCGATGTGGGCTCGATGGAGAGATAAACGCGCGATATTACGTAACAGCAGTCGCGCGAACGCATTTATCGCTCAATTTCGCTGTTCTTTCACCCCCCCCCCTTTTTTTTCTTTCACTCTGTACAAGTTAACTATCGATATAGGATTTCGTAATCGCTCCTACCTCGGGCCATTACTAGATTGCCGAATTTTCGATATCGGCCCGGTGGACAATATTGGCTCCGCATCGGATTACAGACGAATGATTACTCGAATCCAATACCGCCAACTAATTCAACATACTTCAAATGCAAAACTAATCTCTCTCTCTCTCTCTCTCTCTCTCTCTCTCAAACCCACTTTTTGTAAATTTTTAATTTTAACGTTAAAGCACGAATTTTTTTTCGAAATGCACATTAAATTTTGACAACTCTGTAGGACAAAAAACTTTTTGATGCTCTCTATTTATGTACATATAAATACACTCTAGTATCTCTACCGCGATATTTCGCGTATGCCACATGTCGTATACGAGAACACATGTCCATGCACTGAGAAAAAATTTATTTGTGAAGAGAAAATATAAAGTTCATTTCTGTGAATATATTTCATAAATAAATTTGTAAGCACTTTTTTTCTCAGCGTGACAAGGACACTCCACCAACGCAAACGTGTAAAAAAAATCGTGTAAAAAAACCGAGACGTTTAGCATTTGAATCACGTCCGTACGTCAATTTTTCGCCAAGATGTAGACGTTTAAGGTGTTTGGAGTTTTTCTAGAAGACGCGCGCGGTTTTTTACCAACGACCGGTGGCACGCGCGTAATATATTATAGTAGATTCGCACCGTGGACTTCGCACCTCGGGGCAGCATGCTCGACTTAAAGGAGCGACGGCGCGACATTGTGAGTGGCCTGAGTCCTATTACACGATTTTGCCGCTTGTTAATATCTCTATAAAAGTCGTAGCGACATGCAGCAAATTACATTCATAAAACTGCCCCGTTTCTTATGAGAGCGCAATCTTCTCCGTATATTAGGTCTGTTTTTATTCCTACACTAGCTCGCACCAATTCTCATTTCCTCTTTTTCCCGCCAAATTTCAAGAAAGAGAGAAAAAGAGAACTCGTGCAGCCAGTGCAAGCTCGTACAGCCAGTGCTGGAATAGAAAACAGACCCTTTATTAACTAATTTTGCGATATACCAAAACTCACTTTTCTCACTATTTTTGACAATAAAACCGCTCTTATGCCTGTTATTATTAGTAAACGACTAGTTTACAGACGAATGATTACTGTAAACTGTACATTTATATATCCAGGAAAAGTCGTTACTAATAATAACTATTAGTTATTATTAGTAACGACTATAGTTACTAATAATAACTATTAGTTATTAGTTATTATTAGTAACGACCTTCCTGGATATATAAATGTACAGTTTAGGACGCTATTTCGATTTTCGTTCGAGCAAATGGAAATTTAATCGGAGTTAATCATAATTTATTATGTATTAACTGTTTTACAGAGTTTACGTTTTCGTAATGTTTTGTGTATTCCTGTTGAATATGTAAAGACTTGTTATATAGAAAAAAAAGGTTTCTTTGGATTTAGTACACATATTTGTTTGACTTGGGTTTTGTTTAATATAAACAACGTAATTTAATATCAAATATTTTATTTGAATGAAAATGTTGTTTCACTAGAATAAACCATGTTGTTTGATACAAAAAAACAGTTATGAAGGGGAGGAGGGACAATAATATTTGGTCTTCAATAAAAGAAAATGTATTTCATGATATATCAAATATTATTCCACTGAAACAAAAATATTCTTTAATATTCTTGTACCATAGTGTTACTATTTTTACATAATTTATTATTGCCAACCAATATTTGGATGAAAATATAAAAGAAATGTGTTATTTAACTTAAGGAGAGGGGGAGGGGGGATTTATTGTTTAAGAATCCAAATAATCCTGTTTGTTGAATCAAACATTCGTTTGTTTATTCAATTCCAAAGGACAAATTTGCTTAAATCAGAGAAATGTTATTAAATTCAAAGAAATCTTTTCTCTGTGTACGCCCCAGTTTATTACACTCCTAAAATGGAAAAGTCTCCGACTCTATTATCACGATGAAACGTCGATTCTGCTGCAACATCCTACACGATTAATTGCACTTTCTCCGCGCCGCGATATACAATTTATTCGTAAAATTCCCCTCGGCCAGTGCTTTCCGACGTGAGTAAATTTTGTTCGTCAAAAAGCGGGACATCAAAGATCACCGCTTGGAATGTTAGCGCCTTCATCCGTGTTCATCGGCCCGACCTGACCGAGAGAAAGTCCGTCGCGGGAATCCGATTAATCGATATTCGTCCACGTTAAAACGCGAGAACGATTGCTGCCGTGCGCGCCGCGCCGAATTTTATTTTATTTTCCTCCTCTATTTTTTTACACGGCGCTGTGGAACGCGCGGCACGCTCGACGCTGCCACAAAGACGGCGTGTAATCGATATTGCGAATTTTCAGACGAGGCTGTAACGGGACAAGATGAGAGAACGTGGGGAAATCGCGTAACGCCGATCTCGGCGCCCGGGATAACGAGTATTTCGGATCGCGTCGCGGCGATCGAGACTTATGTAGATGCGCGAACGCGCGTCATCAATATGCGTGCGAATCGTTAAATTATTCTCCGCCACGGGGTTCGGATCCCGGCGAATATAAATACACGGGGCACGTATCTTCGATCGTCTGGCAACCGCGGGAACGACGGAGGCGATGGGAAATACTTGGACAAACAAACGACGCGCCCGGAACGTAAAATCGGAAATCCCAGAATGCGCGCGCTTTCTTAGCTTCTTCGTTCTCGGGAAACGAGTAGATATCGGAAAACGCAGGGGAATGCGCGGGGTGGATCGTCTGCTTTTTAATAGGAGGATGCGAGGCACACACGTGTGCGCTCTTCATTTTAATGCTGCTTCATTCACCTCGTATAAATGGTACAAAATACGATAACTCGAAAATACATGTTCATACATAATTCATGAATAATACTTTGCATACGTGAATAATGTTGCGCGCGCGTACACGAACAACAGACAGCGCAAACAATCAAACACGCATATTGTTCTTATGTAAGACGCTTTACATGATCCGTTTTGCTTCGAGAAGTCTTGATGAAGCCGAGGAACTGCAGGGCAGCGACCGCTTGAGTAAACCGAGCTCTGAATCCCCGTTAAGGATAAGTTACTACGTGATGAAATGCGAGATAACACGTGCGAATTATTCAAACTAGAGGGAGGTATCTAGTTCGGGCGAAGTTACGTCTACGGGGCTACGATTCCCGCGTTAGGAGGCGTGATATGAATTTCAAAGGCAACGCGCACGGTAAGACAAATCTCGACAAGTAGACCCGATCACGTTGAACGGGCGGGCCCGAGCACGCGAGCTTCTGCCTCGCGGGAACTTTTGCAAAGGATACTGCATTCCCAGATCCACGTCACGCTGCGCACCTTGCTGCTGCGGATCCACGATCGTCAGGAAGGCCTACCCAACAAAGCACGTTATCGTACCGTCGGTCCCGAAAACGATATCAAAACGACGAGTATCAGCGGATCGAAGTAACAGAATAATCGGGAGGGGCTCGTTAAATATAGACGCGAAAATCTACGACTTTTCTCATCCCGCATTTATAATCGTCACTCGAAACTTGTCTCGTGTGAAAAATTCAGATCTGGGTCTGGAGTTAGGTCGGAACTTTTCGCGTCGAGCTCACATTTTGTATATGAGGTATTTGTGACCGCGACTCGATTGAAAAGTTCACATCTAACTTTGAGCTCAGATTCTCGAGCATCTCACGTGATTTTTTCAGGTAATGACTATAAAAACAAGTCTGAGAATGTCGAAAAAGAGATTGTCGACGAACATGCGATATTAAAAAGTCGTAACACGTAAGGATTTCTCGTTAAAGGGACGATTAACGAACCCTCCCCCGACTCTTGTTAAAGTCTTAAATATTAAATGTCCGCTAAGCTCCGCGTGATTGTCGATCGTCGACGTTGAATTGTTCAGCGGAGTGTGCTCGCGTTCTCGCCGGCGCAATTTTCACGAGAAACATTTTACCGGCTTCCTAACAACCGGCCGGCGATAAAGCACTCGGCACCCCTTGCGCGCGCCTTGCTTACAATGACGTGCTCGCGTGAATCACTCGCGGAAGCAGAGGCGGCGATTAAAATCACGAGACGGCCTGCCGGCCAACCGGTGCGTGACCGTAAGTGTAACAGGGATTAACCTGTAAACATGAGCACAAGCCGGATTGTTACCTGCAGCCAGTCGTACATATTGATCAGCTTCCCGGATTCCAAGTGCAGCTTATAAATTATACTCAGGTCGGGAAGCGTGCGCGGAATGTCGTCGTCGTTCTCCAATTTGCAGCAGTCACACTGAAATATGTATTTCCAATTAACCGCGTTGCAGACCCGCCGCTGCCTGGAAATCGGATAAGCGCCATTTTTCAGCGGTCGCCGATGAATCGTTCGCATGAACGAAGATTAAACGTCGCGGCAGCGCCGACGTCGCTGCGGACCCGAGCCGGCTGGAAATCGACCGTGCTTAAAAATGAATCGCGATTTTAATAACCGGGTCCCTCCGGTGTATTCGTGTATATCAAGCCGGAAGAATCGCGGAACTCGGACCGAAGACACGAGAGGAAGACTGGTAACCACGTATCGTCAAATTTGGAAAGACACGTTGAAATCAAAACCCTACGCTGAAAGAAAAATATAGTTACTTTCGGGGACAACAATATCCCTTTTCTCATTTCAACTACAAAAATGATCAAGAAAACTATTTTTCTAGTAAATATCAGTAATAATAACCTTACATGCATGTACTGCTTTTGTGGTTAAAATAAAAAAGGGATTTTGTCGTCTCTGAAAATAACTATATTTTCCTCTCAGTACACGTAATTACGAGGGATATTATAAAGTACATTATTTGTAAAATTCAAATTTGGAGATACTTCGTGATAATATCCCCAAATTCGAGATACATACTTCGAAATGTCCCTCGTAATTACATGAGGTTTTTATTTTAACGTGTACCTTCAACTTTGGCGATATATGGTTAACAGTGTAATGTGCGCAAGAGACGAGGAAATAAGATGGAAAATGAAAATAACAAAAGCTTCGACAATTCGCGACTAAAGTCGCGAGTCACAGTATGAAAAATTAAATTGCCCGGCATCGGAGAAGTGGAATACATTCTCTGTCGCGACTGTCCTCGTCCGTTTACGTTAATTCACGCGCGAGTCGCTCGCGTGGAATGTCCTCACACTTACGTCCAGGTATATCTGCGGATCGCTCAATCCGGTGTGTATGGCGGCCCGCAAGGAACCGCGAATGTGGTGCTTCGCCTGGTTCCCATCGCTATAGCAGAAAATCTCGTGAGCTGTCACGCAACTCGGGTCGACCAAGTGAACGGAGAACACACGTCGGTCCAGGTAATCGATTAAGTCGTGCTGCGCCTGCTTGTAAGCGGACTGAGATTGCTGCTGACTCATTTTGAGCAATTTCTGGAAACAGGGCACGCAGCTGACGAGTGATTATTTCCTTTTTCCACTCTCGTGTGCCGAGACGGTCTTCATTTCTTCACCACGGGCCGAGCGAACGACGAGACAATTTACGTGACTTTACATGAGACACGATAAGATCTGGTATGAATCGAGCGTAAAGCGTAAGATGGAATGACTTTTACGGTCTCATATACCAACCGCTTATTTTCAAAGTAATGTAAATCCAATTCAAGAAAAAATGGATATTTGGTTGCGTCGTTTAAAAAATAACATGAATTCATTCCAAATTCTTTTCTCACTAAGAAACAATTTCCAAATTATTTTATCCATTAAACGAAAAACGAATTCCACATCACATTGCATTTGATTTGATACCGGAACCTCGTGCTAACACGCAGCGTAAAACGTTGGAACGTTTCGCAACGTTACGTTGGGAATACAGCGAGGGAAAAGGGTCAATCAAATCAGGAGCAACTCAAGAATACGACTTCGTACACACCTCTTTTAGTTGCAAACGATTGAGCTTATCATTCACCGTGACGAGTTCGGAAGAGGCTTTCGCGGCGTCCAAACTAGCTTCGCGAATCGTCTCGATGTGAGTCTCGAGCTCGCTCTTTATGTTTTTGATGGTCGGATCGGCGGAATCGTCGACGATCTTTACGACAGATTCGAGTTTCGAGAGTAGTTCCTCCTTCGACAAAAATCCCAGTAATTTCAGGCATTCCTTGTATACCACGGAGTCCGTGAGATTACTTGTGTAAACCGCCTTGGTGTATACTTCCCGCAACTGAAACGATTTCACTTGTCGCATTTTTTCTACGATTTTTCGCTCACCGCGACACGATATCCGCTTATTTCTTGCGTGATATTTCCTCTAAATTAACAACGTGTCGTTATTCATTTACCTGTTTACCCATTGGGGCGCCTGGTAATGAAGCGAACAAGCAGTGCATACATCTCAAAATAATCAAAAATTGATGCATGAATTCGTGAAATTTGTTTAACAATTTCTCCAGCAATTCCTGCAAGTAAGTTTAAAGTAATAATAATAATGACAATAATAGTAAAAAAAAAAGGGAAAGAGGTTACATATAATGAATACAAAATTGTGATTAAAAGACGCCGAATCAGCAATATCTACACAAAGAAAAAGGTTTTGCGAATTTCGTATACGTGTTTGTTTCGGATTTGTTTAATATAAGCGACATAATTTAGTCTTTTCTCTGTGTTATCACTGCTGAAGCCTGAAATTGAAATACGATAAAAAAAAAGAAAGAAAGAAAAATATGAGAACAATTGAGGAATATGTACAGGATCGTCAAAAATAATATACATCTCTACCCGCGGCGAGTTGTGAAAATTTAATTTCCATTCTGAATTGGATTAATTAATGAGATTTTCATTTCTGATATTGAATAATTTTATGTTTCAGTTGTCAAAACATAGGCCTCATCGAGAAAAAATCAAATCGAAATTATTTGAGAGATATAGCTCAGAAAAATGAACATTGTGCACCTTGAATTTTTTATCACCATTGTCGTCCTGATTTGCCGATTTGCTCGACGTTTTCAGATACCTCGCTATCGACGGTAAACTTTTAATGTCTGCGATATTCTCGTCGGTGAGTTTCGATATTCTCTTCTTAATGTCCCGCGGATGGCAGCAGAGAGAGCTTATGTTGTTGCCGTAAAAATGTTGTATCATACATATCTGAAATTCGTTCACAGCTCGTAAGAGCGCCAATCGGGCGCGGTGAATAAGCGCTCCTCGGTTTATCACGAGCGCGTTACCTTGTAATTTTGCATGAAACGATCCACCGAGAAATCGTAGAACAGAAAGATATCCGTCAACAGTTGAAACGCACGGCCGATTAATTTAAACGGTATCTCCGTGGAGAAAACGGTGTTCTCCAATATGTCGGACAACGTCTGCACCTGCGTTTGCGTGTGGAAAACCTGTAAAACGATGCATCGGATAATCCGCATTTCGCGAAATAAACGTCTCCACATACAGCTATGCTCGTGTAACTTGCCTGCACTGCCAACTTCGACGTGACGTCGTATGTCAATGATCGGTGTACGACGTGCAAGGTGGTCGCGACGCCGAATATCAGCACGAACTTCAATGTGCTCGTGTATGAGCTGCAAAGAATTCGCCGGAGAACGTTACGAGAAACCAAACCTTCGAAAAACCTTCGTCGTGATTTTGCATGATAGATCTTCGCTTTCAATTGATCGTGCAAGTTCGATACTTGTATCGGTCGTGCGCAGTCTCAAAATGTAGTCTCAATTTGTAATCGCGAGTCGGAAAATACCTCAGCACCAGGATGAAGTCGTGCAACACGCTGGTCGAGAAGCTCTCGAAATCCGGTAGAATCACGACCAGGGGATCTTCCGTGTTGTAATGTTTCCCGACCTGTTCTTTCAAGACACGCATCGTGCACCGGTTCTTGGGCACTTCGACAACGTCTTCCTGCGAGTGAGAGAACACGGTGCGGATATTGGTTGCGAACTTTCTCAATCAACGGTGAGACTGTCTAGCGAACGAACTAACTAACTAACCGATTCCGTTGCGTTGACGAGTTGATACACGGTGTCCTCGATGATGCTTTTCACGTTGCCGCAATTTCTGCTCCACAGCACCGCTATGTGCGGCGTTATCTTGCTGAGCTTGGATACCGTAGTGTCGAAAAGCACCGTGTGATCGGGAACATTAACTCCTATATGGAAAAAAAATTAGTCTTAAATCAATGATATTCTCATATATAAGCAAAAATATTATAATCTTAGGAGAATTTATTCTTCTTTTTTCGTCTTAATTCGATTGAATTTGTACCGATGCAGATATTACTTGCACTAAATTCAAGATTAAAAATCTTCTGAGAATATTATATTTTCGTTAATATATGAGAATATCTATTATTGATTTAAGACTATCTTTTTTCTATGTACGATATTTTGCTTCACTTAGAAAAAGAAAGAAGAAAAAACACATGCCCCGAAGCGTCGAACGTTTATCGGCAAAGTTCGCTATAGAGAGAAACGCCGGTTAGATATTAGGTCAGTCAACAAGTCTTGTTCGATTTTCAATAAATGACGTCACATACGTGCAACGCGGACAAAACGAATGTGCTGATATGTTCTGTTGGCAGAACATTGGCGAACAATCGTAAAAACAATGACGCTGATTATCTGGTTGATGAATAATTGATTCCCATAGTACGCGAAAGTTACTGTTTAATTTTAAAATCGGAACGACTTATTGCCGACTTGAATATGAAATTAATATCTGACAGCGCGATTTCGTGTCTGAATTTAGAATTCAGATCTCATGTATGCTGTGAGAAAACAGATATCGAACGTTCATTTGACATGTAAAACAGCTGATGCGACGTTTTTCTTTTTTATAATCTAACGTTTTAATAATCTATACTCTTCTGTCTTATTTCACCTGTCAATAAAATAGCTGTGGCTAATTCTTTCGCGTTTAACGGGGTTGTCTTCGCTTTTAACACAAAAGATCCCAAATTGGACATAACTTCGTGGAACATTCTCGATCTCACATTCTGAAATAATTATAGTTTCATTTATCGTTTGATCTCCGTTACACGTTGAATTTTCAGTGTGAGACATTGAGATACATAACAAATTAGAAAGAGCACTGCTTTTATTTCTGCCAGATTACCTCGTACAGAAAGAGACGATATCGAAAAAGAATCCCCGTCTTTATTTGTGACGTTTTACCTGAGCTAGAAATGTAGTTTTTCGATATCATATTCTCCACATTGCTTGCATTAATCAACTTTATAAATTTGAAGCGGTCTGTGAAACGATATTACAAAATTTATGTTAACCTACATATTTCCTTGTAAGCAATTGGTATTTTACTAAAGATAAAAATAACAATCTTATTTTATATTTATGGTTATATATGTACCACATGATAAAATAATAATTAATGTGAATGTATTAATATATTAATGTAACTACTTTTACTTCAAAATATTACTTTATTTCTAATCTAAAATGATTGACAAGATAAAGCATTATTTTATTTCGTTTCATAATTACCATTTCTTTAATCCATTTTTGTAATGAAAGTTTTTAATTGTATAGTTCAAGAGCAATCGATGTTCTAACTAAAGTATGATTAAAGATACTACGTACGAAATTCCGTTTCTCTTATCTCTTACAATGATTCGATAACCTTTTTCAGATTCACTTTGTATATTGTGAAAATTTAGGGGTAATAGACTATAGTATGTTAGTAGGACAGAGAGCGATTATATATGACCTTTGTCTTACAGGACTGTCTTACAGGACACTGCTCCTTCTAATTTGTTACATAGTTGTTGTTTACATAGTTCAATATTGTGAAATTAGCGTACCTCTACGGCTTGTTCGATGTACCGCCACGTTTCGCTGTACGCGACGTACCAAGGCTCGTCAAAATATTCCGGATTTTGAGCATTGCTCTTTTTTTTCTTCTTGTTGCCAATTTTATAGTTTCCCTTGTACGCGAACACACCCTAAAAATCGCGATATACCGATACCATCACGCCGATTGTCTGTGATATGTTGCATTAACATTAGAACAACAATAATTATTACCTTCGTTGCTTTAGAATTTAACCTCGCTAGACTGTATTAATATTAATTACCAGAATTACTACACATCGGGTCGCGTGATTTACTGATGAAAATTAGAGATTTTTTCCCTATAATATGCGTATTGCGTATATATGGAGTAAATTACGCAATTAGCGCATGCATAAAGTACGAGTATTTATATATAGTCAATCGCTCATTATCAAAGATTGACGTGCGTAGGACATGCAATGTAATTAATACGCACATGTTTTAGGAATGCGAATCCTCAGAGAAATATGAATTCTCGTTAATTTTATTATCACATTTTTTATATATTGATCAATATACTAATCAGAGTCTGAGATATATTAAATTCCTGCATCATAGAGATCGCATAATTCCATTACAGCAAACCGTTCATATTGAAAAGGCAGTTTATCAGGGAACAATTTCAATTACTTTGCGCACCTTTTTTGTTTTCCATCTTTTCACCGTTGATTAACAGACTTCATTGCCCGCTACCGACATCATAAACAATCGAAAGGAGGTTAGAGTTAAAGTTTCGCGGGCATGCGATTATTCTCGACGTACTCATTAACATTCTTCAATAAACTTTTAACGGCCACGTAAAAGTGACAGTAATGAATCATCGGCGCGGCGTTTCAGCGCGCTCCGCATTTTGAGGTTAAGCCGGCGGTAGCAACAGGTTGCACGCTTCGCATCACTTACCTTGGACACGGAAACATTCTCCATTTTGCGGACCGGTCGCCTCGACGTCGCTGCCAATTCGAGTCTGTCGAATACGCGTCTTAAATAGCCAGCTTGATTAACAAACACGAGGAGCAACAACACGCTCCCACAACGTGGCGCGTCTACTGCCGAGTGAACTGGCGGCAACGGTCAGCTGGTTTTCAAAAGACGCTGACGTGCGCCACTAGCTGGCGCCATATGTCAATCTCGGTCGCTTAGCGAGTACTTTGAAGATGTCTTCCTTTCTCCGGCGGTGGATGCGGCGGTGCGCAGCAACGTCAAGAATCCTCTTAAATTATCTTTGAAAAATGAGGTAAGGTGCTTTCAGAGAATGCGTTAAGTAACTGGATAGGTGAATCGATTGCGCACCTGACAAAGAATCCTGTCGATCGCGATCAAAGATCAAACCAGGGGGAAAGTTGATTACAAGCGCGAAGCAATTAAGATAGGTTAGAAAGAGAGAGAAGCGCGCGCGTGTAAAAGAGAAGGAATGTTGAGGTAAGAGAAGCGAAGTATTGCGCCGCGGAACGCAAAATAGAGCAACGACGATACGCGATTCCATCGTTGATGGGCGAATCTTGGTTTCACGCAAGTTTACGAAAGAACGGGTGTTCCGCGCGCAATTGCATTTCACTCGGATTAACTTCTCTTAAATCGCAAATTCATGGAAACTAGCGTCGAGCATAGTCACGTGACGTCACATTGACGCTAGCATCAAAGAAGTTAGATTGCATCTAACGTCACGCACCGATGAGGTAATGCTAAAAACCATTAACTTTATGAAATTCGGCATATAGGAAAATTTCGCTGTTTAATAATCTCCAGTCGATAAATTTTTTAGTGAATTTGTATTAAATCGGTGTAAATGATAACTTCTGAAATGCAATTTCACAAAAATATTTAATATACTTCATCGTAGGTCTGTGTGTATATCGATAAAACTTAGATCACTGCTAAGAATGAATGAAAACTAGCGTCGAGCGTCATCATGAAAAGGCACTTTTAATCCCGTTATCATAGGCTCGCACTTGTTTACGCATACAGGCCGCGGAAATTTCTTGACTCGCTTTCGCGTTTGACGCATTTCCGATCTGTATTATTGTCACTATTTATCCGAAGGATATTTCGTCAAGACGCGGTAAAATGTCCCGCTATTTCTCTCTCTCACGCACGCGCACACACATACACATCGCGGCCTGAATATACATCCGATAAAGCGACGGTCCGCTCTCATCAAAGCGACGTGCATGTTGAAAGTCGGATTTCGACTTTTTGGACAGACAGAAGAGACGAGGGAGAGAGAAAGAGGGGAAGAGAGACGGAGACGGTCTCTCGTCGTGTACCGGGATATAAATCGATACGCAAGCAGCTTTACCGCGCGGCTGTTCTCGTTTTGTGGTCGGCTATAGCACCTGCGTCCCGCTTCGCATCAGCGGGGCGCGTCGCGGCGGAGAAAATAAATGCGAATCGATCGGCGGCTTAATCATTCGGGCCCGTTGAAAGGGCGAAAAGGCTCGGGGACAAAACGCTCTCTCACCGGCGGCCTCGGCCGGCGCGGAGATATTGCCCCCTTGAAAGGGCATACATCCGCCCCCGCGACTCGATCACGTCGTATAAAGCACCGCTCTCGGCCACGAGCAACAAGAAAAGTGCGCCGGCAGAGAGACGCGCTATAAAAATCCAGTCGGCGCGAATAAAGCTCTTATTCGTCGTCGAGCGCCGCGATAAACCCTCTCGGCTTCGCAGATCGATAATGCGATCGCTGCTCGTCCACGCCTAACCAGTTTTCCTACGTGTCCCGCATTCCCGACAACGAGTCGCGCCAGCCGAGTACTTCGGCCCTCGGAATCACCGCGGAAATTCCACCCTCGCGCCAACTCCTGCGCGTCGTCGTTTTCGAAAAGTCTGCGGCGCGATTTAGTCGAGCTTGCTCGCAGTAACCTAGATATCTTAAAATGCACGGTGTGGAAGCAGCGGTAATTGGAAACGCGTGTGAAAATATTTCGGCAAATTTGTTGTTTTTTTTTGTTTTTTTCTGCAAATCTAAAGGCAAAATATTTTTCCCTCGAGCCACTGGAAGATCCGGAATAATTCACGAGACCCGAGCCTTTCTCCTCTCAAATTCACGCCTGGTGTTTCGTAATATATCGAAGCCATTGCGCCTCGTACATACGCGCTCGTATTCCCTTCCGAGACTCCTCATATAGCGGAAGGAAGATCAAGCATGCAACCGTTCGAGGTTGGGAGGGGGTGATTGACGAGGCGTCACCGAGATATAAAAGCATTATATGGTGCGGCGCGATACGACGTTCTGATCGGCGAGCTTCTTTGATACGCGCACACATGGTTGAAGATAAACTCGGAAGGTTACCTTCGTATCACGAAAGACCACCGTGTCGGGAAAAAATTTGCCTTAAGAACACGCAGCTCGGAAATGCCCATCTTCTGTCTCGCGCGTACGTGCGATGTTCGTCACGACTTCGGTTTGACCGTTTGAGTGCTCAGAGAGAGGTCACGAGAATGCATGACCAAGATAGACGATAGGTCAAATGCTGACGCACTCGGAAAATCAATTAATCCGTGAAACTGCCTCGCGAAAATTATTCTCAAATCAAGCGACGATCGTACAACTACGTTAAGTCATGAGACGAAAAAGAGGAGCGCGATATCCGGGTTGAAACTTTTATTCTACAAAGAAAAACATAATGCTAGAATGAAGTAAACGTATCACCTGTTTTTTAAGCTTCTTAAATCGAGTAATATCTTTTTCAATTTAAGTTAAACATTTTAATAGCTTGTAACACATACTTATTTGAGCGCAGTAATACCTTACTTTGTTAATGAATGATATCGGATTTGCTATTTGATTATCTCATCTCCTTACCTTGTTTAATTTTTATTCGTGATTTCAACAAGAGGAACACTCGACATACATCGCGCGTAAAATGAAGAAGTATAATCGCGTTGTTTGGCACTGAAATGGTTAGACAGCAACGTATATCGTCGAGATATAAATTCGCGCGAATAAAATCCCTTTTCGTATCGATCGGCGATTCGGTCCGTACGTTTATCGCACGACAGCATTGTTGTGTGTATCCGAAAGGGGGGGAGGGAGTCACCTACTGTAAAAGCCAGTAACTCTCCTCGATTTTTACGCTCCGAACCGTCGTCATAAATGTTACCTTTCGCGACGAAATGAGCGACTCCTCCCGATGTCGTATTCGCACGGCTTCGGCGATACATCGCGGCGGATCATAAATTTTACGATTACGCGGCTTCCGTAGCAGTGCATTACGTACGCGCGAGCGCGAATTACCGTCGACGTAATAGTTATGTACGTACGCCGAAAAAGAGAGAGAGAGAGAGAGAGGGAGAGATTTCATGCGTTCCCGTCCGGCGAAACGACGATTGTTTACGCGCTCGTTAAAGATTCCGGAAAGTATCCGTGTAGCCGCGGAGAAAGAAAAAGAATAAAGGGAGAAAGAATGGGAAGGAACTTGAGGAAGGAAAAGAACCCGAAGAACCCGAAACGGTCGCGGATGTTCCTTCGATCCTAGAGTCGTCAACAGACGCTGCGAGGCACGAGCGCGGAAAATGTTTTCCGGCCCCGATAAAGCGCCGCTTTGCCGCGCAATTCCGCCGCGGAAAGCCGCGGACGAGGAAAATTATTTTCCGACGAGACATCGCCCGAGTTCCGCCGTCGTCGTCGCTCGCGCTGTCTGGGGAAAACGAGATTCTACGGCGCCGGCCGCTTCTTGTCCTCAAAACTTCCTCCGGGTGAAACGGCCGGTGGTTTACGAAACGGGACTCAATTCCTGGCGTTCGTAATGAGCGTCATTGTTGGCTGCGCGCTACCCAGCCGTCCGCTTTTCCCCCGCGACAACGGAGATTGGACTTTCCGAGCTCGCGGGGAACGGCACTCCCGCGATCGCTCGTGTCGTGAACAGGGTCGTTCTTAGAAACTACAATGCACCCTAGCCGCGATAATCGATAGGTTGCGCTCGAGAGAGGCGTGCGGAAGCCTATGCTGCGGATTCTTACGCTGAAATTACACAGAGAGAGAGTACGTATTAGACAGCGCGGGAGTCACGGCGATTACACTGCAAATCCAAGTGTGTCATTTTACATAGAAAAAGTTGTCTTAAATCAATGATAGATATTCTCATATATAAGCAAAAATATTGTAATATTCTTAGGAGGTTTTTGAATTGAGTGCAAAATAATCCTTGCATCGATACAAATTCAATAAAATCAAAATCATAAACTAAAAATCTTCTAAAATTATAATATTTTTGCTTGTGTATGAAAATATCTATTATTGATTTAAGACTAATTTTTCCTCCTTGTACACACTCATGTGTGTAAATTCATGTAGTTACTTTTTACATATTTGTATGAGTGTGATTACTACGATTTTACACATTTACGTAAAATTATAGTATTTTAACACATGTACAAATGCGTAAAAATGATTTTACACCCACAAGTGTGTAAAATTACACATTTGGATTTGCAATGTGCGCTCAGTCTTCACTTTATTCGGAGAAATGTAAGACCTTTGTGTGGAGAGATGGTTCATATGAAATGAAATGTCTGCGGACACTTGATTTTATATTTAATTCTGTCTGTTCCGAGGCCGTCGGACCGACGCGGAATAATTTCCTAGCTGAGAAGTGCGCGAATGTGTGAGACACACGCGAAGCCCTATTTGTAGAAAATATCCGGAATTATTTAATTTCCTATTATCTCTCGATATTCTACCTACATATATTTTAAGCTTGAGTTTTCATTTCAGCAAGCATTACATTAATTATATAGGTCACTGAAATGCAAATAAAATATGCGCGATAATCACGTATTACGGTCGAGAAAATCCGAGAATTGAAAAATAACATTTCACACCGTCAGCGGATTCCGGTTAAATATTTATTTACTCACAAGTTTAGCTTTTTCGCCACGAGTTTCGCGTGGCATCAAGTAACAATGGCAAGGACACACCTGCTCACCTGCGCGCGCGCGCACCCATATATACACACGTGTACGAATACTGCGCGGCCGCGAAAGAGGAAAAACCTCAGTATTACGAGGACGTTCTCCCGGTAACGGGATAATAAAGCGACGAGCTTTGCAGCTCCACCGCGGACTTTTTGAAGTTTGCTCTATCTCTAGCTTCTGCTCGCCGTTCGCGTTATTTTCAACGTTTTTCCCCATGTATGTCTCTCTCCTCTTCCCTTATTCCTCTCTCTCTCTCTTCTTTTTGCGCGCACACTGTCTTTTTACGGGGAATAAAAATCCCCCAATTCCACCGAGAATAAAAACATCAGAAAACTTCGCAGTCCGCGGGAAGTAAAACCGCTCTTCTTCGCCGGTAGTCCCGCGAGAATTCAAGTAGCCGCTTCACGATGGCATTCGTCCGCGGCCACCGCGAAAAAACACTTCACCAATAACAACAGAGTGGCCTGCGCGCCTTTCGTTGTGCCACAAAGCGCTGACGAGGCATCGTTTCTCTCGATGGGTTACAGCGAACCGGCCTCTGACGATCGAGGAGCTCAGGGACTCGATATCTTCCGAGCTGGAGGGCAACCCACCGCTATGGATCACCAGGAGATCGAGCACGCATGGCGTGGACGTGTACATCAACAACGCGAAGATCCTCTTGGAGCAGAGCAACTTCCAATCGAAGCTGAAAGTCAACGGCGACACTATGACTCAGGTGAGCAAATCATCGCATTTTTAACTTTCAAGTTCTCTCGAAGCTTTTGACTTAACTCTCGGCATATCGTCAAGATCCGTTAGACTCATGTTCTCATCAGTTTCTCTTTATATTTTTAATAAAATAAAACATTTAGGCGAAAACATTTCCGATCCTTCCTTTACATCAGACTTCGAATATATTCATGATTTTTTATAGATCTTTATTATCAGTTTTACAAACTTTAAATAAGCAAGGACAAATGACCTCGGTGTGTTAGATTAAAGTGCCAAGAAAATGTCTGCACGATTAGGATTAAATTTCTTTCTTGAGCAGTTCTAACTATTTGTAAAAATTGATATCCCCCTCAATTCCTCTTGATTTTGATCCTTCCTCAGAAATCTTTTGAAGGACGAAGGGAAGATTTATTTATATCCTTCATCTAAATAGAATAAACGAATCCTTCAATTAAACCAAAACCACGATGATATACTGAGAGTTAAAAATGATAATCAAATTCAGCAAGAGAGATATAAAACGAGATGTAAAGTTCGCCGTTCCGGCGCGTATTTAACTGGCGGATAAAGAGGAAAGAGAGTCGAGAAGGTCTCAGCCGTCTGGAGAATCGCGAGTATTCGTTCCTGCGCGCAATCGCTTTTATCCACTCGTACTCGATCCTCCACTTTTCTGAGCGATTTCCCGGTGGCAACGTCCGCGTCACTGGGAGCATCCCGGCGTGCCGGTGGCGGCGGCTTTCTAACGAGCTTTTAATGAGCTTTACACGCTCGCCTTAGCCGCGAGACCATTAGGTTGATGAATATCACGGGCCTCGATAATGTCGAACGGCGCTTCCTGGCATTCGCACTCTCTCGCGAGGGCCATCAGCTCCGGTTATCGATGGAGTCCACCCGAACGCGCGGCGCCTTGCAAATTAAACCCGGTGGTTTAAGGCTCGATTTATAATAATCAGCGCGCGCCGAGTCGTAAATTATTCGCGATTCACGCGCTCGCATTTTCCATCGTCGTGCAGTCGAACTGCGCGATTTTGTGCGGGAAATTTCATCCACCTTTTTTAACAATTAAACAGTCAATTGAAAAATTGTATAATTGATTAATAATAACTGATAATGATAATTGATCAATGATTGGGAAATTCAATTTCGGCACGATTAAACCGTAGCGTATAGAATTCCGCCGTCGGAGATTCCTCCCGAAGCTGCTGAATCGCGCGCCGTGCTATTTTCGCGGATTTTCGCAATCTCGCGCACAACGAATCCTCTCGTCGAAAAGACCGTATTCGACGCTATTCGAGCTATTCGCAGCGTTCCCCGCGCTAACGCAGCCGAGTGGTCTCGTGGAGGGCTCACGAGAGAGTCTTCGTCGGGGAGCCTTTTTCGAATAGCCGTAAATTCGTCGCCGATAGCATATTCACCTCTCCGCGCCGTATCTCGGTTGATTTCGGTGTTCGGTTTCGCCGAAAGGGGAAAGGTGGATCTCATTTCGGGTTGCCAGACGAATCCTTTAATCTATAGTTAAAGTACCATCACCTGATGAAAATCGCACGGGATACTGGCTGGGCCACGACTAATCCCTTCGACGAGCTCGTCCGCAGATCAATCTCTTTCTCCCTCCTCTCTCTCTCTCTCTCTCTCATATTCTATCAATCTCTCTCGCTCATTCTCATTCTCTCTTTCTCTCTTGCCTCTCGGTAATATTAGGGAAACTTTTCTCATCCACTTAACCCGGAAGTTCCATTGCCTCTGCTACTTCCTGCTCGTTACATGGAGCATGGAAATATCGGCCCTTATAAATCGCGTCTTTCGCCTCACTTTTTAATAGATACTAAGCCGGAATCGAGGGTCGCGTCGTCCATTTCTACCGTCGTGAAAAAATCACGCACGTGAAATCCGACAAGATGCGAGCTGTTCGCAATTTTTAACACGAACGGCCCACGCAAATGAAATGCGCGTCGAATGTAATTTCAAATTAGACGAGCGCAGATTGCTGTTGCGTCGGATTTAACGTGGATTTAACATACACAGCTGGAAATTACTTTGCGTGTTTAATATATTTATCATACACAAATTGTACAAGCGTCACGACAAGGAGATTCGCGAGGGACCCGTTGAATTATTATCCCGCGGGGATTGACGTAAAAACTACAATTTCCGTGTTGCACACATTACGCGAGAATTAGCGATAATGATTGATTGTAATATTATCATTAACAAACGCGAGTGCGGCAATTAGCCTGCCGGATGGCCCGCGATCCGCTGCAATAACTTACATTAATCATCCGTAATTATTAATTGCACGGTATCGATTCAATAACGCGTGATTGATAGAAGTGGCCGAACGAAAGTGAAGTGTAGCGGTCGCCGCATAACCGCAGCGCGATAATCGCAGCATCGTAATTAACGAATAGGTGAAGACCTCAAACTGTAAAGGTACACGCAAATATCGCGACTTCAACGATCTGATGAGATCACCGACGAACTTTTGCAAGCCCCTAAAATAATTCCTCCATCACCCTAAAGAACGTAATTTCACTTTGAAATTCCAACTTCGCAATTATAGACATGGGATCAATTCACTTTTCTCATATTTTTTCTCACTCAATTTGAGCCCCTTAAAAGAAACTGGATCGCGAAAAATCATGTTGAATAACTTACTTCTTTAAAAACAAAAGTTTTAAGGAAAATAAAACGTAACAATAGCTCCGACGACACGATATTTACAAAGTGAAAACTAAGCCGAAAATAGATTTTAGATATTATATATCATGTAACTTTTTTATTCCCAAAAATTCAAATTTTGCTCTTCATTAACTTTCACTATAAAGTCAATGTTTTTAATCTCTTATATCCCTTTCCACCATCATGATTTAAATTTAATTGACGATTAACTCAACGGAAGACCAATAGCATTAGCCAATTAGCTGAACTGAACAATGCGGTTGATTAATTCCGTTGAGTTAATCGTTGATTAGATCTAAACCTAAATGATAGTAGAAACGGGCATTAGAGAAATGGTGTATAACACATAAACAATTTAATATTTGACGTACAAATTATTTGGAAAATACTCGCTTTTTACTCACTTTTCTCATTATTTTTTGACTTATTATTTCCTTATTTTGTTCAAGAACGAAACTCACTCTCCCCACTATTTTTGACAGCTCAAACCGCTTCCATGCCTGCGATTATCGTCGCATCTTTCTCAGAGCCGCGCTATTCACGAACGAGTATTGCTCGCGCATAATTTTTTACCGCCACTCTCGCGGAATACGGATACGCGGTCGAAGGTGTCGCGAAGGACCCCCACCCGATGCATTGCGTGCGACAATAATAGAAACTGTCTCGACAATGGAACGGGTCAACGATCCGCTTTCAGTCGGTGCGCGAGCGCGTTGCATATCTATCAACTCAAGAATGGATTTATGCACATTGCTTCCCCTTCCCCTGCCTCCGTCCCTCGCCGTACGTATCACCGACAGACGTACGATATTCTATTATCCGGCGTCTCGGACGGAAGCTCGGAGATTCAGCGCGCGTTTGATGGAGGGAAATGTTCCGCCGACAACGAAACTCGATGCTTCTCACGAGCCGTACGATGCGCTTTTTAACCGCCCCGACGCGAAATCGCTTCGGATAGCTCGGCACGATTTCTCTCTCTCCATCTGCCTCTCTCTTTTTTTTCTTTTCAAGCTTGACGAACGCCCCCTCGATTCCGTTTCTCGCGATGTCGCGAGTTACGCCCGCGTCGATACGTTACGGTCGCGTCGCAATTCGGCGAACGCACGGGCTCTCTCGTAACTGTCCGTCCCGGCACTTTATGATTATGGACACTGTATTTACGATACGCGTCGGATTAGAAATACAGTCCGGAGCCGATGCTCACTATTTTAAGTCGGCTATAAATAGCTTATACGGTTAATTCCGCCTTATCCCTTATGCATCCGGTTCGAGCGGGGGGAAGTTTTATCGCCAGAACGTGGCCCGCATTCTTCAGCCGCGACCTCCACTATTAAAGCCCCAACAACATTTTTGGCATGTCCGCCGCTCGATCATAGTCACGTTTACCTGGCCGTTACCCTTCTTTTACGGCCACGCATTTTGTCGTTCCGAGAGGTTTCTTGTTTCAATTCGCAGCGAGTAATACTCGCGCGGAAATTCGCTCAACCGGCCAGGCGTGTATTCGTCTCTATCTCTCCTACTCTTTTCCTTTATCGCGCCATTTTTCCGCGAGATATGGATTTTATGGCATCTTAGGAGGATCCTACGGCGAGCTTCGATTTCCTGACGGATCGCGCAGGAAGTCGAAATAAAAGGGGAATGCGCGAGAAGGAGGCCTTCATCCCCGAAGTTATGACCGGTTTTATTACGTCAGCCCGCTCGTAAGATCGAGAGAAATTCAAGAGGTTCCGATCCAATTTAGGAATATATTCGCAGATTTGTTGCCACCCTTTCTTCCCCGTCCTACTTTTCACCCTCTTTCCCTCATTCCCTCTTTTCGTACCGGAAGATACAATACGGTATTACTTCCTGGCGATTGAGTGACATTTTATTCGGCCTCCGGTAAGCACAGAAGTCACCCCTGCAGTCCCGGTGCGAATTTCGTAACCGGATCCTCCCTGCTGCCGGCGCCGAGCGTCACAAAAATCGTCCCTCCCCGTAATGTCGCCCGATTCAGTTTGCGGACTCGTTCCGCGATTTCGCTTGCGGTCTGGCAAAACGATGAAAGATTCACGAATTGAAGTAACGACGACGTTCGAATTTCATCGGGGTTCGTCATATCGCGTCGCCACGTCCGGGATGCACCGCGTAGCGCGGCGAAGCGAGAGACAGGAAGAACGATGAGAAAGGAGGAGATACAGAGAGAGAAAGAGAGAGTGGCGATGGACGATGTTTTTAATCTCAAAAGACCGTGGGGGTTTTTGATATTATACGTCTTTGGAACGCAGCAGCCCCCCCCCCCCCC